ATTTTATGCAGTGATTTGATCTGGGGAAGATGAATTCCTGGCAATATTCTCAGTTCCTCCTGTTAATAATTCCTAGGGTGCTAGCTAGCCAGGCCTCATGCCTGATGTTCTTACAATGTGGTCTTTTGTTGCTCCAGTCACAGGCTCCAAGAGTTCTCGTAAAGTGCCCAGCAGAATTAGACAGAATTTTATTGTGTGGCTGCTTGCAGCTGGCACCAGCTGTTGCTATACTTTATTATTTTATTTAATTTTTGTGTGTTAAGTTTGTGTTTCTAGCCTTCCCCTCACTTCTGACACTACATATATAGTGCTAAGTTGTTTGCTGGTGAATGTGACATTATTAGTAAAGGGTCATGGATTCTTCCAAGAGAGAATTGGCTATTTTCATAAAACCACTTTCAGGTGTGGAGCTGACTGTTAATATAATGTTGGTTAATGTAATGTTTTTGAAAGGATCATTTTGACTTTGGAATCAGAGGTAACAAATAAAACTTCACTAAGGATTCAAAACCCTGGAATGTAAAGTTGGAGTGGTAAAGAAGAAACAAATTGCCTTTTAGCAGCAGCTGGTTTGAAAAAAAAAAAAAAACAAAGAAATGGTGTCTTTTCATAGATCAAATATTGACAGCAATGTTCTGGCATGATGGACATGCCTTCTGTGTGAGATGAGTGTGACACCCACTCAAAAAACAGCCCACATGGGAAAGAAATGCCAACGATAATAGAAGTGACCTTTTAGTGCCTTGGCCATTGGCATTGCCCGAGGGTAATCCTAGATCACCCGTTTTTCCATTTGGATGTAATGGAGACTGACAGGGCAGGTGTCCTGCCTAAATCAATTGATTTATGGTCAGCTTTCAGCCTCTTTCCTACTTGCCTCTTCCAGCTCTTTTCACTGTCTGTAAGGCTTCTATTGAACTAATACAAAGATTGATGATAAATTGATGAATTTTGGAGAATTTTAGCATTGGTGTTGAATTCAGTAATATTAAAATGCAGCTACTGACATGGTGCTTGAACTGCAGTGCCTAGATGAGGCTAAATGAAGCACAACTTAATCTCTTCATCATAAGATGAACAAGGAACAAAACAAATGGTACCTTGGCAGTTGGATACTGTCTCAGGCACCACAACCTGTGGTTGTTGAAATTAGCAATGGATTGATTTTGTAACTCACAGTGGCTCGCACTGCTGTTGATGTCGATAGCTTGCCTTTCAAACATAATGGCTGTACCCAAAGCATTTAACCCACTCCCAGGAATGGTTGGAGAAAGTTTGTTTGCAATTCAGTGACCCATGGTTTCTTGGGTTGTAAAATAAGGGTTAGGCAGCACTGAATGTAGGAGGGGAGAGAATCACATTTGATCTCAATCTAGGTTACAAGTGGTACTGGCAGAATTCTTTCTCTCTTAAATTTTCTCAGCAGGGGGCAGATCTGTGGTGTAGTGAGTATAGATAGCCACCGCCTGCATCAGGGGCATCCCATAGCAGGGCCAGTTGGAGACCCAGTTGCTTGACTTTTTAAAAAAATATATTTATTTATTTATTTGAAAGTCAGAGTTACACAGAGAGAGGAGAGGCAGAGAGAGAGAGAGAGAGATAGAAGTCTTCCATCTGCTGGTTCACCCCCCAGTTGGCTGCAACAGCCGGAGCTATGCCAATCCAAAGCCAGGAGCCAGGAGTTTCTTCCAGGTCTCCCACGAGGGTGTAGGGGCCCAAGGACTTGGGCCATCTTCTACTGCTTTCCCAGGCCATAGCAGAGAGCTAGATCAGAAGTGGAACAGCTGGGACTTGGACCAGTGCCCATATGGGATGCGGGCACTGCAGATGGTGGCTTTACTGGCTACATGACAGTGCCTGTCCCCTACTTGCTTACTTTTGATCTAGCTTCCTGCTGATGTGCCTGGTAAAGCAACAGAAGATGGCCCAAGTAGTTGTGCCTCTGCACCCATGTGGGAGACCTGGAAGAAGCTCCTGGTTCCTGGCTTCAGCCTGGCTCAGCCTTGTCCTTTGTGACCATTTAGGGAGTGAACCAGTGAATAGCAAATTTCTCTTTCTCTCTCCCTCTCTCTGTAACTCTGCCTTTCAAATAAATAAATAAATAACTCAATTTTTTTTCTCAGCATAAAAAAGGGCTGAAAACCCTTCAAAGGGGACATACCCTAGTTATATCCTGGAATAGCCATGTTTGAATTTTTTTTTTCCTTATACTGGATTCAGGTTTACTTGAATGTACGCCTGGTCTCTCACAGATGCCCTTTGGAACAACATTACTCTCCAAACCTCAGCCACAGTTCTCCAACCTGGACTCTGACCTTGTGTCTGATTTATTGTTGGCCTTACATCACAGCCACTGACTGCTGTCTGTCTCCAAACTCAGGACCTTGCCCTGCCCATCTCTTGCCTGCAGGCTCAGCCCAGATTCTAGTACAGGATTCTCTTTGCCCACTCTGTTCCATGACTTGATATTGACCATTGGTTGAGTCCAGGCCTAAATGACTACTTGGTCTGGGAGGCATACTTTGAGGGATTCAAGCCACAGACAGGGATTGCAGACTGGCTTTAGCTAAGAGCAAAGAGCATTGGGTGTTCTCTGGTGGTTAAAAAATGTAAAGAGAATGATCTGCCTAACTGAGAGGAAAGTGAAATCAGGATTGTGAGGCACTTACATGCCACACTAACAACTAATATGAAACCACCAACTCAGCTGACTTGGGTAGCATTTGCATCTTAAATTTCCCATGAATATAAAAAAATCACCTGTGGCTATTTTAATTTATAATATCAATTTAATTTTTTGAATGGGTATGCTCATAGGCTTCTAAATTCAAAGATATAAAGAGTAGAAAATAAGGACATATCTCCCACCCTCTGTCCCAGAGAGGACCAAAGATATTAATTTCATTCATATTCTTTTAGGGACACTTGACACACACACATGGGAATGATTTTGTGTATTATTAAGCACATTGAAAAAATACAAATATTGTACATACATTTTTTATCTTTTCTTAATATGTTATCTTTTATTTTTGTCATATCACTAGGTTAAGAGTGTTTCCTTTCTTTCTTTTCTTTTTTTTTTTGATTACAATATTTTTATTGATTGCCTTTATTTAGCCAGTGCCCAGCTGATGGACATTTAGATGATTTCTAGCCCTTTTACATGATGTTGAAATTAATGATATTACTTACATACTGAGAGGAACATTATGGGATAAGTGAAACAGTGATAAAACAAACACTTTGTATGTGTGCAGATTTTTGCTCTTCTTAATATACTCTCACCTTCTTTTTACTTAGATTCTTATAATGGTCTTGAAAAGGAGGCATAGGGAATATATATCTATTTACATGAGAAAAAATACATATATAGAGAGAGGTGAGGTGAGAGCTTTCTTTAATGAGAAAGTTAAGCAGAAGGAAATTCATCATTTGGATACATCCCAGGAGAGTGCTTTTTAACAGAGCAATTTTTGCTTCCAAGAAAGTTGAAAAAACTAAAATCTTGTTGAGACAATTTTTGGTCTTTAGTACTAAAAACATCTGCTTTCTAACACATATGAAAAATGAAAGAAAACAGGTACAGGCATTTGGTTTAGCAGTTAGTTAAGACACAGATTGGGCTAACTGCATCCCTCTATCAGAGTGTCCGAGTCCTGGCTCTGCTCCTGACTCCAGCTTCCTGCTAATGTATACCCGAGGAGGAGGTAGTGATGGTTCAAGTACTTGGATCCTTGCCACCCTTGTGGGAGACCTGGATTGAGTTACCGGGCCCTGGCTTTATTTTTTTTTTTTTTTTTTTTTTTTTTTATTTTTTTCGACAGGCAGAGTGGACAGTGAGAGAGAGAGACAGAGAGAAAGGTCTTCCTTTGCCGTTGGTTCACCCTCCAATGGCCGCCGCTGCAGCCGGCGCACCGCGCTGATCCTGGCAGGAGCCAGGAGCCAGGTGCTTTTCCTGGTCTCCCATGGGGTGCAGGGCCCAAGCACCTGGGCCATCCTCCACTGCACTCCCTGGCCATAGCAGAGAGCTGGCCTGGAAGAGGGGCAACCGGGACAGAATCCGGCGCCCCAACCGGGACTAGAACCCGGTGTGCCTGCGCCGCAAGGTGGAGGATTAGCCTATTGAGCCACGGCGCCGGCTTGGGCCCTGGCTTTAGACTGTTAACAGGTGTTTGGAGGATTTAACCAGCATATGGGAGATCTCTGTGTGTCTCACTCTGTTTCTCTTTTAAATGAGTAAGTAAATAAGAAAACTTAAAAAAATTGAAGAAAAAAGGAAAGGAACAAGGAAGACAGGAACACTTTCAAGTATGCTGATGAAAAGCTCTCTAGAAAAATTTTAGTGTTGAATCTGAAGAGAGAAAACCAGAGCTCTGAGGACAGTGTTGACAGCAATAAATAGCAAAGCAGAAACCTTAGATCACTGATATCAGAGAAAAACTGCCAAGGATGAAGGGTTGATATGCAGACACACAGAGAAACCTCATTCCAAATTTGCTTTTTTTAACTGTAAGAGTGATCATACTACAGCGCGGTGCGCCGGCCGCAGCGCGCCAGCTGCGGCGGCCATTGGAGGGTGAACCAACGACAAAGGAAGACCTTTCTCTCTGTCTCTCTCTCTCTCACTGTCCACTCTGCCTGTCAAAAAAAAAAAAAAAAAAAAAGAGTGATCATACAAAGCTTAGTGAGCAACCAGACATCCATTATGCACTTATTTAATTATATAGCTTTAAACATTTTACTTCCAAAATAAATGTGTTTATTTATCAAAAGTATAAGTAAGCAAAAAAATATTAAATCTGTCTAAGAGCTAGTATATAAAATTTAAAATATGCATAACAATGCAACATATAGCACCTGGATCGATATCCTGTAGTAATAACATAAATACTATACTTGGGAAAAGTAACCACCAAGTTCAGGTGATTGTATCCCCTAAGGAGGAAAACAAGGAAAGAAAAGGGAGGCATTGTTTAAAGACTTTCACTGTATTCAAGTTCTTATTTATTTATTTATTTATTTTAAATGAAGCAAGTACACCAGGTAGAAACCAAAGGAACTGTTTTCAAGATGGATTTGGTGAGAGCAGAGGCCAAAGTAAAGCTGGCTGAGGGCCCAGGTTACACTTGTAGTAACATGGGGAATATTTAGCCTGTTAGTTCACAAAGCACAATATAGCACCTTGAACCCCATGAGATAGGAAAGAAATGAAGTGTCACTTGAAACGGTGCCATTTTGCAGGTGGGAGCACTCATGGATTGTGCCTTACTCACATTCTGGTAACAGTTATCAGCAGCCAAGGTGGAGGGGAAGTGCCTGTTAAAAATGGCTTCTGACGTAAGAAAGGCCCTAGCAGGAAGGCCAGGTGGAAGAACAAGAGCAGACATGTCTCTGAGTGCGTGAAACATGCGGAAGGATTCCACTAGTTAACTGGAGGAAGTTTTGATTGAGGTGAGGGTGTGGGGAGACACTATTCCTGCAAGCCGGAGCTATGAATCAATGACCTCATTTGGTAGATGAGGCCTAGGGAAATTCAACTAGCAAAAATAGAAATACCTGTAGTAGCTAACACATAAATAAAAATAAGATGCAACCAAATGTAAGTGATGATATAAGAGCCCTTTTTATTTTGATTGGTGGAGAGGGCTTGAAAGGAGGAAGAAACAGAGTCTCAAACTCAGAGAATGGCTGGCCTGAAGGTAGAAGGGGGGAAGGAAGTGGAACTGGAGAAGCAGGAGAGGTTATTTTTATATTTATCTTTATCTGTGCAAAAACTCAGAAGCTCCATTCAATGGTATTTCATGTATTGTTGACAGTTTAGTAGAAGTTATAACATAGTCTCATTGCATTCAGGCTCATGCTAATATAGTGCATCTATTGCCACAGACCATCGGCTTCCATGATGATTTCCCAGGGTGCTGGTGCTGTGGTGAAGCCAGTGAAGCTGTCCCCTACAACAACAGCATCACATGTTGGAGTGCTGGTTGGAGTACTGACTGCACTGTTTCCAATCCACTCATTGCTAATGCTCCTGGGAAAGTAGTGGAAGATGGTCCAAGTGCTTGGGCTCCTGCTACCCATGTGGGAGGCCTGGATGGAGTTCTAGGCTCTTGGCTTCAGCTTGGTCCAGCTCCAGCTATGGCAGCCATTTGGGGAAAAAACCAACAGGGGGGAAGATCTCTCTTTGTCTATTACTCTGCCTTTCAAAGAAATAAAATCTTCTTCAAAAAGATACCCTGGGACCTGCTCCCCTCCCACAGATATTCAGGGTAAGACTGGCTGGCTGAAAACCCATTTACTAATATTAAATATGATATATTAATGAGGACACTGCATTCCTTGGAGGGACATGGAGAACATGTGCTGATATTCTATCCTGATCATGGTCCTGGTTGTAGCATTTGGTTAAAAATAAGAAATTTAAAAACAAAACAAGAGGTAAAGATATAGAAAAAATGGTTCAACTATCATTATATTCTTTCAGTCAGTCCTTGGGAACAGATTCCACAGCTTTTTGTCTATTAATCCTTCCAGAAGATTACAGAATATGAAATTTTGTAGCCTTATACCACTTTTGAACTTACTTGCTTGACATATTCACTAACTCTTTGTCTTAAAGGAAAATCAAGCCAAAAATGACAAACATTGTATATGTAAAATATGTTTAAAAGATAATAAAGGAGAAAAAGTTGAATAAATAATGTATGTTAAGCACTTAGTGCAATGTCTGAGATGCAGGGGCTCACTGAGGGGGAGCTCCAATTGGATTCCACTTCCTGCTTTCTTCTCTGAACCACTGCTATTTATCACTGATTCTGCATCTCTGGGCAGGCAGTACACAACTCTGTAGTCTAGAGTTCATAGCAAATCATACACAGAGACAAGATGGTACTTTTTCATTGCTACTGTAACAAATTACCAAAACTTCAGTGGCTTAAAACAATATAAATTTCTGAACTTTTTGCTTCCAGAGGTCAGAAGACTGAAATGCACATTAGTGCTAAATTCAGCATGGTGGCAGCGTGGCATTCTATCTGACAGCTCTGGGTGAAATCTGTTTCCTTGTCTTTTCAAGTTTCCAGAAGCTGTCTGGATTTCTTAGCTCCTGGCTCCTTCACCCCCTTCATAACCAGCAACAAAGAATCTTCTCTCTCTATCTCTTCTCTTTCCCCCTTATAAGACCATTGTGATTACATGGTGCCCATCACCTGGATGATTCAGAATGATCTTTCTATGTCAGGACATTTAATTTAATCACATCTCCAAAGTCTCTCTTGCCATGTAAGATTACTTATTCCCAGGTTCTGAGGTTTATATGTGGACATCTTTGGGGACCATTATTTAGTCTACCATAGATGGGGAGCACAGAACAGCTTCTCAAGGACTCATTGAATGATGGTGGATAGAGGTGGAGGTGGATAGGGTATCAATAGGAAATAGGTAAAGTGGGGAAAAGAGATGAATTTCAGGCCTGGTGTGATTGGATACACATATTTGCGGGGGGGGGGAGATTCAAGGAAAATAGTTGCATATTGAACAGAGAAATATGAAGAGATTTTGCTTTCTGAAATGTGGGCACAACTGTGTGTGTGTGTGTGTGTGTGTGTGTAAAGAGAAATAGCAAGGAGAGTTAGTGGTGGTTGAAATAATGTGATAAACTAATACTTTTGTTACTAATGAAAGAGTATCATTTTTTAGATAGCATTCAATTAACTAGCTGAAGTAGCAGAAAGGTGTTCTAATTGGTCATCTATTAACTCTATTGAATTTTGTAGGCAAATAGCATGTTATGCATTATTTTGAGGAAAATGCTAATATTAACAAAAGATACATGAGAAGAAGTGATTCTGAAGAACTAAAAATATGTGTTTTGGCAGAATTGTGTAGGCTATTCACCTTTAATTCCCCTGTGGCACAGTAGCAGCAAGGTGAGTCAGATTGATTTTGAAGTGAATTTTATTTTTATAAGGGCTATTAAGTCTACAAAGGTTTGCTTAGTCATCATTTTGTGGCATGCCCATTCACTTAAAATGTAAGGAAAATGTGAAGGGAACATTTTCTTTTCTCAGCACTTTTGCTTCACATAGCCCTTTGTTAATTTTATTATTAATGAGAGAAACTCCAGTTTTTCAATAGTTAATTTTAAAACAAACCTTTTTCCATATCTTTTCAACCCTTGAAGTGCCATGCACAGAGCACAACATAATAAATATATCTGCTCATGCAAGTGATGAATGTTGTTAAGTGTTCCATTTGATAATCAGTTAAGAAGTGCAGGTTTACATGCATTCAAGGCACATCTGTGAAAATGTTTCTCCTTTAAGTACAAACTTATCTACTCAGTCTTTTTGCTAAAAGGCCAGTACTGTCAGAGTGACTTGACCACACTCTGAATTCTTTGTACCACCAGATGAACCAATGATTGTTTTTCTCTTGCCTCCTACATGTTGGTTCTTGGTGCCACCAATATTGAATAGGTCAGAGTTCAGGCCCACCTACCAGGAGTTATCTCTGTCACTTGCCCTCTCACTAGGTTCCCATTCATGTCGATTTCATTTCTGCAACCCTTCTGGCATGCCTTTCAATCTTCTCATTCGATTGTCATCACTTCTCACCTGCTGGCATAAAATTGCTTGTCTCCTTGCCTGAGTCTTTTTTTCCATCAGCTCCAGTTCAAAGTCTTACTGAAGTATAATATCCCTGAAGCCAGTTCCGGTGAGCTCATTCATGGTCCATGGACTTTCAACAACTTCCCATGGTTTTGCAATGAAAGGGGAACACCACCACCTCAAATCTACTTTTCTAGGTTTGTGTTTTTACATTCCTTTTGTGTTGTACAAATATATACTTATTTGTCCTACCAGAAGATGTGATCCTTGAAATCAGAGATCCAATCTTTTCAATCCTAGAAATCATTCATCATCTTTAATAAAAACTAAATAAATATTTATTAGATAATAGATTGAGCAAACAAGTGAATTGATTATATTAACTTATTTCCATGGGAGTTAGTGATGATGTGAACAAACAGTTTGAGCCCACTCAGAATAAGATCTCTTTGGAACTGGAATACTAGAATTTCAATCAGAGAAGACTATTAACAATATGCACCAAGTTATGAAAAATCTAGTTTGTCCAAAACATGCCAGAATATTCATACATCATTTTCATGAAATAGATACCATCTCTTTACCTAAGACTTGGTCTAAACTTAGTAGCAGAAAACTGAAACCTCCTAACTGGAGAATAAGTAAGTTTCAATTTTTAATATATCATAAATTGTGACAGAACTTGGAGTATCAAGTTAGCTCAAGCATTAGCCACCCTTCAGTGCCAATGAGGGGCATGTGGAGACAGAGGTCCTGGGTGGGTGTGATGCTCAGATTCTAATCACAGTACTGACAGCAACAACTGCATCGTGGCTCAGAAGGCAGCCCTCTGCTCTCCATCTATGGCCAAGAGATGGATGAGAAAAGCTGCAACAGCTAAGAGAGTAAAGATGAGATGGGGCAATGGGTGGTCAGATACAGTTTGAGGGGAAGATTTAGGTCTTGGTTGAAGATGCAATTGAATTGTTTGAAGCACATTGATCATTATCAATCTATGGAAGGGTAGGGAATGTAAGAGTGTTACATGAGTTATGTGTAAGGATAAATGTTGTTTCAGAAACAAATTACCTGGTGAGTTATCTTACAGGTGCCACATTTCATAACAACATGAAAAAATTGCAGACCCATAAATCTAGAAGCACATAGCATCAGCTCCACCATAATGGATGATGAAAGGCGAGATTAAATGATTCTGAAACTTTGCCTGACCTGATAAACCTCTGTGACTTAAGAAAGTAAACCCGGCTTGGCTGGCCACAGCCTCTCTAATATTATGGCAAAAGGAATTTCTCACATTGCAGGCTTTGGAAACCAAATATGGTTTTCTGTCAACAGTATTCCACACTCATCCATACACAGAGCTTTTGCTTTAAAAATTAGTGTATGGATGAATTGGTAAACCACTTTATTCAGTTTGCTGGTGTTTTATCCTAAATCAACTTCACTTAATTCCATGGCGTGAAACAGGAAACATTCAAATTACGTGATTGGAAAAAAGAAAAACCAATTTAAGGATAAATTCTACTGCACATGAAAATTGGCTTCTTGGTCCTTTTAAGCCAGTGGCTCTCAAATACAAAAATCTTTTTTTTTTTTTTTTTTGGACAGGCAGAGTGGATAGTGAGAGAGAGAGACAGAGAGAATGGTCTTCCTTTTGCCATTGGTTCACCCTCCAATGGCCGCCACAGCAGGAGCGCTGCGGCCGGCACACCGCGCTGATCCAATGGCAGGAACCAGGTACTTATCCTGGTTTCCCATGGGGTGCAGGGCCCAAGGACTTGGGCCATCCTCCTCTGCACTCCCGGGCCATAGCAGAGAGCTGGCCTGGAAAAGAGGCAACCGGGACAGAATCCGGCGCCCCGACCGGGACTAAAACCCGGTGTGCCGGCGCCACAAGGCGGAGGATTAGCCTAGTGAGCCGCAGCGCCGGCCAAAATACAAAACTCTTAAAACAGTGTCCAACCTCACCATCAGAGTGTCTGGGTCGGTAGGTTTGGGATGAAAGCTGAGGATCTGCATTTCTAGCAAATTCCAAGGTGATGCCGCTGCTGGCTAGGAACTCCATAGAGAACCATCACCTTACAAGTATTCCTTACATCCCCTTTATTAGAAGTGACTGAGATTTCTAGAAGCAAGAATAGAAAGACAAGCAAGATATTCAGAAGTCATACCCGGTACTGAGATTGAGAGTAGGTAGTTTAAGCAAAATCAAGACTGAAACCAAGCTCTCTGTTTCACTTTGTATGCTGTGATACCATTTTGCATATTATATAAGACAAAACACTGAAAAAATCCAAAAGATGTAAGCATAATTAAAAATTATTTATTTATTTGTATGTAGGTAGAGGGAGTTTAGAAGAGATTTAAATAACCCTGTCAGGTTCATTGACTCTTCCCCTTAGAGTTAGCTGATTCTGTGGTTTGATCCTGGTGTTTGGGGGTTCTATCTTGCCTATAATCTGAACTTAAGCTTCTGGTTTGATACTGAGCCTGCTGCTCCAGGCTGTCCAGGTCTGTCATTCTTAACTATTTTTGGTCATGCATTCTTTGAAAATCTGATGAAAGTTACGTCTGACTCCTGACAACAATTATACTCTAAGGAACATGCATGTGAGCACACATAGGTACACACACACACTCACAATTTCAAATACAGTTTCAAGACTTTAATATCATACACTCCCAAGCAGAAGTCAGCCTCGTTGAGACAGCATACTAAATCACATGTCACTAATCTTGTCTTGCTCTCTGGGGCACTAGAATCCTGACTGCAATAGTCAGGTTAGGTCCACCCAATGCAAATATTTGTCCAAAGCAATACTCAGAGAAGTACTATGATTTACAATTTTATGAGAAAAATAAAATCATTTTCTGAGCGTGAGTGAGGCTACTTGAGGCAGTGAGAATAATATAGATTTCACTATCGCGATAAGGGCTGAATTGCCTCATTGAATTACAAAGCAGCAAAGCTCTGTTATTTACTTGTAGTTCCTCTTTACTGAAGAATGTTTTTTTTTAACTTTTATTTAATGAATATAAATTTCCAAAGTACGATTTATGGATTACAATGGCT